AGAGAGAGAGAGAGAGAGAGAGAGAGAGAGAGAGAGAGAGAGAGAGAGAGAGAGAGAGAGAGCACTTCCATCGATCACAATCGAAAGTGTTGTCCGGCAGGTGTGGGCCATATTCAACCAGGTGGTGTATATTTCCATGTTCTCCCCGAAGACTCTCTCTCTGTTTCTCTCTCTCTCTCTCACAGAGGGTACTTCCATCGATCAAATGAGCAAAATCGAACTATCTTTTTTTTCTTCTTTTTTTTTTTGTGTGCGTGTGTGTGTGTGTGCGTGTGTGTGTGTGTGTGTGTGTGTGTGTGTGCGTGTGAGAGAGAGAGAGAGAGAGAGAGAGAGAGAGAGAGAGAGTGTCGCAGTGTCAAAACTTCATACATTTCTCTGTTCATTCTCATTTGTGATGGAAAATTCACTTCTTCAATCACGTGCGGCGTAGCCGCGGCGCGTTTACTTGTTTTTTTAATGGGAACATGGCTCCAATCTATTCGTGGGGAGCTGCCCTCAATACTGATAGGGTAATGGTCCTGAGTGCTGGTCACACTGAGGTAGGATAGGGAGAGGGGGTGCGTTGGGTGGGGATGGGTAGGGTAGGTGGCCTATCCTGTCAGGACAACCATTGGCTGCCACTGCCAGCAATCAGTACAGGTCTGGTCCTTGGCCTCTATACAACACCCTGGGCTTAGGAAGAAGAAGAAGAAGAAGAAGACTGTCAAAGAGCCAAAAAGAATTATTAGGGAAAAAAAAACAATTAGTCGAACGTACCAAACCCTTAAGGCAATTTTAGCGGGGGATAATAGAAGAAACAGCCAAAAACAAAAGCAAAATGCAGAACTCCTTTGGGACATCCATTTAGATCGGAAATTGGAACAATACAGAGAAAAAAGATCAGCATGTTCTCTGCCTGCACACCGCCCAAGTGATGTAAGTCCATGGCTGTAGTATGCTGGGTAGGGCCATAGGGAGGGCTGTTTGAGTGCTTGGTCTTAGGAGTTCTGGGGATCAGGGTCTTATGTTGGCTCCACCGTGGGCCGGGGGGCAGGGAGGATAGGTTAGGGTGGCTGTTTGAGTGCTTGGACTTAGGAGTTCTGAGGATCAGGGTCTTATCTTGGCTCCACCATGGGCCGGGGGGGAGGGAGGATAGGTTAGGGTAAATTAAAGGGGGAGGAGTTACTTCCTAGACTGTTGGTAACCAAATTGGTACCTCTGCGTGACCCTCCGATCTGTCAGTCGCCCGTATGTACTAGTTCGTGGGCGTGCCATGGTCAAGCCCATGTTTCCCGTCACTATGGCACCCGTATGACAGTCCACACAGAGCGAACTTGGACTACAGTAGGGCCCATCTCAGACGGAATAATCCTAGGGTCACACTGGGTGTTAATATGGGGTAGGTACTGGGTACTTCTCATCCCCCAGGTATCTCACGATGCCTGCGGGTGGTGCTTCATCCAGGTTGGGGTCTGTGGGAATCCTCATAGGGCGAATTCATCAGGACTGCGGATTCTTGGGGAGCCTGGGGCACAAAGACATCATGCTTAGGATAGGGGAGGGCGGGATATCGCATCTTAGTGGAAGGGCAGTTCGCTGCCCATATCTGCGGGATGAGGACAGATGGGGAATGACTGCATGCATATGCATGAACCCAACATGTGCCCGGGTCATCCTTAACATTAGAGTTACGGTAGCGTCTGCAAGAACACTTTCGGGTTAGTCCGGTGAGCGTTGGCGCAGATCACGACTTGCGATCTGAGCATTAGCATAGGTCATGGTACAATGGTGCCATCCTGAGGTGACTCCCCCTGCGGCCTCGCAATCCTATGGGCACCTCCTCCCGAGGCCTGGCCACCACCCTCTACTACACCCTGGACCTTTAAAGAAAGCGGATGGCCGTTGGATCAATGATTAGAGCACCGGTTGCAAATGTGCATTGTGGTGCGAAGTTGCGGCTACTACACCCCAGACCTTTAAAGAAAGTGGATGGCTATTGGCTCAATGGTTAGAGCACCGGTTGCAAATGTGCATCCTGGTGCGAAGTTGCGGGTTCAAAACTCCGTTGCCTCGCACACGTACACTGGCAGCGCTTTCATAGCGCACAAGCCATTCACACACTCCCCCTCGGGCAGATGAACGCTGCCTGCGCACCACCCAACGGGTTTAGTCCATGGTTGCAATATGCTGGTAGCTGGGCCTTGGGGGAGGGCTGTTTGCGTGGTTGGCCTTGGGGCGGTCCGACGAGTGTGCGTGTGTGTGTGTGGGTTGTGTGTAGTGGGTGGTCCGATGATCTCTGGGTCATGTCTCGTGTACTCACCATGGGTGGGATAGGAATTTGTGTAGGGAGTGTAGGCCTGTCTGTGCACCGCCTAGTTCGTATGCACTGCTCTGTGGGTGTGTCAAGGGTGGTCTGGGTACTGTGGTGGTTTCCCGCCCTCATGGTACACGTGCGGGAGTCCATACTTACATTGTACGATCCTGGTTCCAGTCTGGCTCTGCCCTCTACACTCCCCTTGAGTAGTACCAAGGGTTAGGCAATAGGCATATAAGATTCCCGAGCGCGGGCTCCATGTCTACCTTACGATGCTTGCAGGCCGGGCTTAAGATTCCTATTGAGGGGGGTCAATTGGGGTGCGAATCTGGGGAAGGGTCTTTGGGTAGGGGTCTCATCTTAGGCAGGGCAGGGTGGGTTGTCGCTTTGATAGTAGAAGGGTGGTAGACACCCATAGAGTCTGCTAGATGTGATACAGGTGGCGTATGACCGCATATCCGTGACCCCTCCTGTGTCCGGGTTGTCCTCGGGAATTCTGGGTGTTCCTATGGTAGCGCCCGGGGGGAACACTCGTCTGCGACCCTCCGAGGGTGCTGGTCGGTGTAGGTCTAGGTCTAGAGACAGGTCTGGGTCCCACTACTGTAGGGCTCGACTTGCAATCTTAGGATAACACAAAAGGAGTTCACGAATGACGCCACCTGGAGGAGCCTGTCCTTGGGCTGTCACAAGCCATCGGGTCTCCCCACTGGTACAACGGCAGGCACCCCCTGAGGCCTAGCATCCAGCCTCTACTACAATCTGGACTTCTATAGAAAAAGAAAAAAAAATGCAAAGAAAACTTCAAAAAAAAAAAACAAACTCAACAAAGGCATGAGAACTCGTACGTGATGACGAATAACATTCAGAAAAAGACCTTGAAAGAAACAAAAAGAAGAGTTAAAAAAAGAGTTAAAAAAGTCAAAAAAAAAAGGAAAAGAATTGAGTTCAAACAAATTGGGGAGGGGGAAAACAGGAACTGCAACCTAAAAAGTGTACAGCTCAAACTTCAAACAAATACTGTCAAAGACAGGGTAACCGGCGTTCGGGACGGACCGAATGCCCGAATGTACGGGACCCCTTGGGGATGCGTTCGGCCGTTCGGGCCGAACGCAGACCAAAAAAAAAAAAAAAAAAAAAACTAAAAAAAAGAAAAATAAAATAAACAGCATTTGCCTGAGCATTACATCCAAATTCCTTACCAACTGTGAAACAAAAATAAAATACGGAAAAAAAAACAATTAAAATTACTTTAAATTAGTGACTGCACGAGCACGTTTCCAACACCGCCATCTTTGGTGATTTTTCTTTTTTTTTTGGGCATAGCCAAATGCCCTGAAAATTTACAGATGTGTACTTCACATACTACAAAACTCGTTAAAAAAATTTCAAAAAATAATAAAATTTTTCAGGCCCTGAAATAAAGTGAAAACAAAAAGTAAAAAGTGAAAAAAAAAAACAAAATAACGARTGGGCGARCACGTTTTGACACCCCCATCTTTGGCGAATTCTTTTTTTTTTTTTTTTTGCTTAGCAAAATGACTTTAACATTTACAGGCATGTACCTCACATTATGACAATTCGCAAAAACACAATTCAGAAAAAGAAAATTATTTTTAGGCCCCGAAATAATTTTTGGCGGGGGCCGAACGCCTTCAGGTTCGGACCCCCGAAAGCCCGTATGTACGGAGGTCAGCCCGGGGACCCCCGTACGTCGTCCGGGCTGGTGACCCTGGTCAAAGAACCAAAAATAATATGACTTCAATTTTTTTTTTGGGGGAAAAAAAAGAAATAGTTTAATGTAGCAACCCTTGAGGCAGTTTTAGAAGAGGGGGTAAAGGAAAAAGCAACCAAAATATCAAAAGCGAAACGCAAAATGTTGAAAACTGCTAGAGATATGAATGCGTCACTTTCTCGGGAAAAAAAAAAACAAAAAAAAACTGTCCCTACAAAGACTGGATTTACACAATGAGTTGAAAGAACACAATGTGCAAGAACACGTATAGCAAAAGCTTCAAAAAAAGAAAAAAAACATGGGAACACTTGACGTCGTTGACGACAAGAAAATTTCCTAAAAAAAAAGCTGAATTTCTCTTAACATTCGCCTCTCTCTCTTCCTCTAAACACCATTCACGGTGTCATCATCACAATCAATCCTCCTGATTCATCACCGTCAAGGCATCATCGATTCGAACGATGATGATCATCAGTGTGAATGCACCTTGATGATATGTAAGAAGAGAGGAAGAGAGAGCAATTAACCTCCTCATGACGATGGCTATGATGATGACGAGTTTGATCGCGCCTTGATGACGTAAGAAGAGAGCGCAACTAGCCCGGCGAGTCCACATAAACTGGCAGCGACTCGGATTCTCTTCAACACCCGCCCATCAACACCAAACATCCCTTCACAATCCCTCTCTCTCATTTCCTTCTTGTTCCAAGCATTCACTGAGCCCAACATGTCGCCGAGAATTGTTAGTTGTCGTGACATATGGAGCTGCCCGTGATTTATCCTCTTCATCTGCAAGAAAGAACACGCACAACAGATACCCAATCAATTCAGCAGCCCTCATCACTGGATCTATCTCCTCCTCGGCCTTCTCTGTCCTCTGCTTCCCTTTGGTCTCCGCAGCCATCTCCGTCCACTTTCCTTCCTCGCTCTCTCTCTCTCTCTCTCTCTCTCTCTCTCTCCTGCAGGTAGTAGCCTCCCCACGCTTGCCACATGGTTGCCCTGCCTTCTGCTCCACCTGCATCCACCACACTTTCCTTCTCCCCCTCTCCCGTCCACTCTTGCCCACATACTCACCCCACCTCTCTCTCTCTCTCTCCTCTGCAGGTGGTGGCCTGTCCACACTCGCCACATGCTCGCCATGCCTTCTGCTCTGCCTCCATCCGCCACCTTTCCTTCTCCCCCTCTCACTTCCACTTTGCATCTCTCTCTCTCTCTCTCTCTCTCTCTCTCTCTCTCTCTCTCTCTCTCATCTGTATTTCCATATGTTTCAAATGCCTTGCCCTGGTTACACTTTGTAATTCGTCATTTCTGCTTTTTCTGGTAGCGCGCATTTTGCTGCCTTGTACCCTAGCATGAAAGGAACAAGAACTCAGTTCTGCACTGTCAGCCCCCTAGAAATCGACAACCAAGTAATGTGGTTGGTAGGAGAACAAGAAGAACAAAATATTGCAGGTAGTACTGGGTACAGCAAAAATCTTACACTCCAAATGTAGAATCGGAAAAACAGAGGGAAAACCTAGATAGACCACTGGTGACTAGACAGAATTTCCCATACCGAACCATCTGATCTTCATCAGAATTAAAACCTGTTACCTGTAGTGCTGGTCTTGTAGACGCTATTCTCATGTGCACGGACAATACACAGGAGGTTTTCTTCCAAAGGACACCATCACACAGCAGCTCTATGGCGGCTCAGCGTTCATGGGATGCTACGCTCTCAGTTCTGTGTTTGGCTACGAGGACTGGTTAGTCGATGCTTAGATGGTGAGTGCTGGTAAACATACGGGGCAGGTTGCACACACACACTCAGAGAGAGAGAGAGAGAGAGAGAGAGAGAGAGAGCATGGGGAGGGGGGGGGGGGGGGGCGGCGAAGATTCAAGCAGACGCGGTAGAGAGAGGGGCCGGCCAAAGGAGAGAGGGAGGTGTTGGAGGGCACGCCCACGTCGGCGGCGGTGCCGGGGGGGAGGGAGGGGCAAGGCTACAGGTATGCAGGGACTCGCTGGCACGCACAAACAAATAAACAAAGATGCAGGCACGTGTGCGCACATGCACAACACTTGCCGCTTAGGACAAGCATCCCCAAAAGGCACATGAAGCGAAAAAAGAACGCGCGCATTTGCCCACTGTAGGCGCCAAGATGCACTCAGTTTTTTTTTTTCTCGTTTTGTGTGTCGCGTGGCGAGGCGCTATGAAGGATCAGAGTGAGTATGCGTGCAAACATACCTCCTCGCCGACAGCCTCAACCGCATATTGAACGAACTGCTTTCCCTGTACCTCAGGGGGGTCTCCCACAAGCTCTGTGCGAGAAATTACTTCTGTTGGCGATCCTGCTTTAAAGCTGAAGCTGTTATTCTTTTGCACATTGCCTACACCCACACCTGGTCTCTTGTTCGTGGCGGCACATCCATTGCCTGTATCTCCCCGCCGGCCTCCGTCTGAGCCGCCACTTGGCACTCTTACATACGTCCCCGAGGTCGCCCCGTTGCACAGCTGCGGTATTCTGTTCTCTAAGAGGCTCATCCTAACCATCATCTCATCCATTTTTTCTGCAATGGCACTCAGCTGTTCCAATACCGTTGCTTGTCCCTGCAAAGCAGTCACATAGGGCTCAATTGGAAAAGCCATCATAACCAACCAGCCGCAAATACTGTTAAAAAAAAAAGAAGAGAGAAAAACTGCACAAGTGAAATGCAAAAAAAGAAATAGCTCATAGCGACTCAGCATGCCATCAAGCCACCGGAATTACAGTCAAAAGTGCATGAGTGACAAGCCATTAACAAAAAACGGCGACTCAGCATGCCATCAAGACCACTGTAAATACAGTCAAAAGTGCACACGTGACATGCCATTAACAAAAACCGGATAAAAAAAAAGGTCTTCCTCGCTACTGGGGTCTCCGTGCTCACAGACGTCGTACAAGGACCGTCTTCCCCTGAACCGAACACACGGTCATTGTTGCTGTATCTAGACCGAACATCGCTCAAAATGCAGCTAAAATGGCCGTATGAGTATTCACACCAATGTTTGCCGCCCCCAGATTGGTAGCCTGTGGACCAGCTGACTGATCCCATCGGCACCTACCGGTCAGTCAGTCAGCACCCCGTATTTTTCTTTCTTTTTTTTCCCTTCCAGCGTCCAGAACCCCCAACGGGGCAGAAATTAGAAATTTGAGGGGAGCATCGCTGGCTCGAAGGCCATGCGATTTGCCAAGTCACCATGATTCGCTGCAACATCGGGCAAGCACGGATCGGCCTTTTATCAACACCCCCACCATACCACGCGCCCCCAGCACCCCCATGCAGCCCCATACACCCCGATACACCCC